CTTAATAGTCCAAATGAAAAATTTTAAGAGAGAATTTCTGGCTGGCCCAACTTGGGACAGGAATGACGGTTTGGATTAATAAACTATAGCCAAGTGGGCCCAGCCAAGTTAGTATCGTCATGGCAACGAAAGGTCTTGTGAATCAGGGGCCGTGGCCAGGAAGAGACTCTTGGCAAGCTGGGCAAGTGCTCTAAGAGGAGCTATTTTGAGAATACAGACCACAACGTGAAAACAGCTTATCTCTGGGGGTGAGCCTGTGGATGTCTTTTTGTTTTGGTTTGTATCATTCAAGAACGGGTTAGTTGCAAGAAACAGAAACACAACTCTAACCAGCTGAGGGAGAAAGTGAAAATCATCAAAAGGCTAACATGCGTGCAGTGTACAAATGGTCTCAAGAACAGCCAGAAACAGAATCTTGGACACTCTGCCAGGACCATCTCTCACTTCTGCTTCTCCCTGAATATCAGTTTACTTGCCTCCAGATTTTTCCACACAACAGGAGACATGGCTGCAAGAGGCTCCCCAGCCTGGCATCTCCCTCTTTCACCACCAGAATGAGACGGATATTTACTCTTTCTGGTTCCGAATTTTAAAAGCCCCAGAGAAAATCAGCTTAACTCAGGCAGGAATCGTTACTGCCTCGTTCCCCTTCTGTCCACACTATCTGGCACGTGGGAGAGCCTAAGTCCACATGTTAAACAAATAGTGGATGTGAGGGAAATGGAGGGAGCCTCGTGAAAGGTAACTCCCGAGTTTGGTGACCAATGCGGAGGTGATGCTATGAACTCAACCAGGCTGCAGAGGAGTTATGGCCAAGCGGAGGGCCCAGAGCATTGTTTCGCAGTGAAGAATGTGAACGTCGGAGTTAGATGGTCTGGACTGGAGTTCCAGCTTTGCCACTGACCATCTGTGTGACTGTGGGCAGGTTATTGCAACCTTCAAAGCCTCCACTGCTCCACCCATAAACGTGGAGATCATTTTAACACCCAGTTTATAGGGCTCCTTGTCAAAATTAAATAAAATACCCTGTGCAGAGCGCTCAATAATTGACTGATATTATTATATTCTTCTTTCAACCACACTGCATTATGTTTTTGAATTGACTTTCACCATCTTTGTGGTCAAAACAAATTATTTTCTGATGATAACATTGTTTCATGTTTCCTCGTCCGTGCCAGTTAATCGGTGTGTTTCTCCAGTCCACAGGCAAAGATATGTGCTCAATCATACCTATCTCAATGGGGAGGAATCACTTTGGAGCCCCCACTTTTGTTCGGGTACTGGTCATAACAGCCTATGCCGTAAGAAGTGTCTGTATGTCGCTCAGGAACGTGCTTGGCAGGTTGCCAGGCAGCAATATCCAGAAGAAGGTGACAGTTATGTTCAGAGAGTGCAGGCCTTGCCCAGCAAAATCTGAGACACTATGGGGACCACCACATGGTCGAGTTCACTCATTATTGGGACCACACCTACATGTGGGGAAATCCAAAGGGTTTGGCTTCTCTCTCTAAACCTTACGGTTGAAAGTAATTTTCCCCTCTCGGTTTTTAAACATCAGCTAAGGGGTTGGAATATGTCCTTTACCTGGGAGAACATGTACCTTTAAAAGTAGAAGCTTTTAATGTGGTCTTTTAAATTTCTCCGTACATAAGGACTATGGCTTTGGGGTCACCCCCGCCCTCTAGATAAATAATGCTTTGAAGGTATATAAGTAGAACCTAGAATAAGAAAGAAATTTTGTGGGTTTTACTTTTTATTAGTAGAATAAATTTTAGTATTTTATATAAAGGTCCTAATTTCTCTAACATCCTCAAATATGTTGGGGCAAATTATATTTTCCAAAGATGGCTACACCAATATATACCCCAACCCACATCCTCTGATTATAAAGAAGTGCAAATAACTAGTTTCATTCAAAAGATACTGATTGCATCCCTCTAACTATTGACTCCTGTGTCATGACCCCAAATCCAGACCTCAGCACTTGACTTCAAGTCATGTTATATCCTAGTCTGCATTTGTGAATGTTAAAAGCCCTGGATGTAGAATTAAACTTCCTGGGTCGGTGTCTTCATTGACCACTAATTGTATGACCTTGGACAAGGGACTTAACTTTCCACTCAAGTACCAAGATTACTCCCTTTATTCAGGTTAATAAACGAAGGCAAGGAGTCATTGTTGACTCTACTGCTGGCTCTGCTCTGCTGGGCATTTCTTGGGCAGCCATGTCCTAACACACTGTGGCAGGACTGGGGTGGGGCTGACTTGACCCACATACTTCCTGGAAGCTGAGGTCTGGGAGTAGATGTGTGTGTTTGGAGGGGAAGGTAGAGACATCAGGGCACTGGAAGGAAAGCTAATCCTAACGACCGAAAGGACCCAATTCAGGATATTGGTTGCCCCAGGAACTAAGTCCATGTTTTATCATTTCGCCCAAGTCTGGGCCCCACCTGCCCTCAGTCTTAACACCGGAGGGAGGGAAAGAATAGGGCAAGCCTGTAGAGTAACTTGTGCTAACTGAGGCCCAAGCTGGGGCTTCTGGGCAGGGAGTGCACTTTGGAAGAGGGGAGAGAAAAGGTGGAATGTGCTTTAGAGGTCTGCAACTTTCCTGCTCCAATCAGTGAGGGAGAGACGGGGCCCTGCTCCCTCCCCGCCCTTCCCAGCTGAATTGTATTCCTCATGACTTCCCAGACTCCCCCGGCTTACCCCACTCCCTCCACCCTGAGCACCACAACCTATGGAGACCTTCCCATGGTCAAATGCTTAGGTGGGGTTTTGTGCTAAATTTAAAACAGTTGGGGGTGGGCTGGGGGGCAAAGGGGTGCAGAGAAGAGAAGAAAGATAATTTCTTGAATGCCTACTGAAAGTCAGGAAAAGAGCTGAGTCCTTTTCCATGATCTCACGTTAGTCTTCAAGAATGACTCTGAGGGGTTCCTGCATGGCTCAGTCGGTTAAGCGTCGGGCTCTTGATCTCGGCTCAGGTCTTGATCTTGGGGTTGTGAGTTCAAGCCCCATGTTAGGCTCCACGCTGGGCATGGAGCCAACTTAAAAAAAGAAAAACAACACTGAGTTCAATATTTCTACTTCTCTTCAGGCAAAATGGAAACAAGTTTGGTGTCAGGACTGGAATTTGAATCCAATGCTGGTTCCAAGGTTCGTGATCTTCCGAGTAAGCCAGAAAAAAAGAGGGGAAAATAGGATAGTTGATGCCAAAGCAGGACTTGAGATTCACAATAACAGGATATGCTGAGCACAGCAGAGTTCTCTGGTTATCAAACTCGTCAGTCACCTGCTCTCATCCTGCCTATTTACAAGTCAGGAAATGAAGTGGGGATGGCAAGTGTGAGGAGAAACTTGACAAGCAAGCCAATTCTAGAGCTTTCACTCAGCAGTACAGTTCTGTCTCATTTTGTTATCAGCAGGATAGATAAACTGTCAAGGTTGTAGAAGGTTGCAAGATGAGTTTGTCAGCCACGTCTCCCAAAGCCACACCAGATATTCAGGCACAGTAAGAGATGTTGGCTCAGTAACGGTCAGTGGAATGCCTGGGGCACCAGCAGCTCCCTCCCCCAGCCAATCCCTCCCTTTCTGATTCAAGGGCTCACACAGCCTCCCAGACACAGTAGGATTTAGCGGACTTCACAGGTAAACATACTTGGTTCAAACCCTGGTTCCACTGAGTCCCCTCATAGGGTCGTTGTAAGAAATACACTAAGACAACATCTGAGGGAAACCGCCACGCCCCCCCCACAGTAGTGTTCACTCACGTCACTGGCCAAGGGTAATTCTAGATTATCCAAATGGTTACAGGGTCCTGCCAGCTCCAAGCTTTAAATATTGCAAGTCAGCTTCCTTCCCCAGCCTTAGTTCAGGCTGCCAGAATGCTCCATCAACACATCCAACCTGACTTCATCATAGTCACAGAAAAATAGATTTGAAGGGGAAAAAAACATATCATTTAGTTTTCAACTTGTATTCTACCATCACAACACACACCTGTAGTGTACTACTAAGTAATATAGTTTAGAAATCCTCTGGTTATCTTTCAAAATAGTGTGTTCTTTACACTATCTGAGAGGACTGTGTGGTTTTCAGTCGTTTCAGTGGGAAGAGTCATTTCCACTTTATGGCTCCTTCTCTACTACTCACAGCTGACCCCTGAACCCATTGGTGGGCTACGTGGCTTGGCTCAATAGCAGTGGTTCCTCTTCTGGAGAAAATCCGAGGTATATTTTTTATACCATGAGCAACATCTGCAGTGTTGTGCAACCTCCACCACTGTTGAGTTGCAGAACATTTTCTGTCACCCCAAAAGGAAACCTCAAACCCATTAAGCAGCTGCTCCTCATTCTCTCCCCCCTCTAGAGGTTGGCAATCACCAATTTACTTTCTGTCTCTATGGATTTGCCTACTCTGGATATTGCATATAGATGGAATCATACAGATAATGTACCTATAAGAGCTAAGGTTAACCTATCAGACCAAGGCATCCTGGCCTGGGAGGCCTGAAGGCCAATCAGGGATTTCCCAGGCTCACTGACTGCACTGCGGTCCAGCTCACCTTGACTGACCCAATGAGTGACTTTCTCAGATGAGGAAAGATACTTAACTGGGCTGCTTTTTCAGTGATTCTATGGGTTGAAACCCCATCTTCCCTTTTCTCCAACCTGATCTTGCAAGTCAAAACCAACAGCTCCAACACTGTGGCAGGGCCATTCTGCTATAAGGACTGAACTCTCTGATGCTATTTTTTTTTTTTAAGATTTCATTTATTTATTTGAGAGACAGCATGTGAGAGAGGAAGAGCACACACAAGAGAGAGCACAGGGGGGGGGCAGAGGGAGAAGTGGACTCCCCACTGAGCAGGGGGCCCAACACGGGGCTCGATCCTGATCCCAGGACCCCAGGATCACAACCTGAGCTGAAGGCAGATGTTTAACCCACTGAGCCACCCAGACACCCCTCTCTGATGTTATTTGAAGCCAAAGAAGTAGATGCAATTTTTTTTTCTTCAGCTAAGACAGCAAAAGAGATGATTTATTGTACACGTGTTACATCCAGCCACAAATGAAAACAGAATTAGTCCCGAAAGTCACAGGTCCAGGGCAAAGGACCAAAAGGGACTGTTTTGGTATGAACAAGGCAGGTCTCTTCAAAGGTGGTCGTTGCGATCAGATGGCGATGATCTAGAGCCCTTGAATCAAGCTCTAGAAAGTAGGCATGCAGTCCAACAATTGGTACCAGCGTCCCTGGCCTCTGGCTTTCCTTATTTCTGCTCCTGTGGCTCCATGGGTGCACAAGCTAGCGGTTTACTTGGACCTCTGCCTCATCTTTCTTCTTTTACGCTTCAGCCTGCGCATTCGCTTCTTCCTCCACTTGGCTCTCATGGCGCAGAGGTTTCCAAGAAGATGGCGCTAAGGCCGAGAGTAGATGCAATTTCTTGAGGAATGAGTATTGGATACGAAGAGGGTCTAGGACAGAGCTCTAAAGAACTCCAACAGACGAGACTGGTTAGAGGAGTCGTTGACCAGGAGGCTAAGAAAAAGTGATCAGAGACATAAGAGAAAAACCCAGGATTGTGAGATGTCAGAGAAGCCAGTGAAAGCTAGTTACAAGAAAAGGAGAGGAGTCAACAGAGCTCAAAGAAGCTGAGTGTGAATAGGCGAGCTTCAGGAGAGCAGGGCCGGGGGAGGCCAGATTGCTGTGGGTTGCAGGTGGAATGGAGGTGAGGGGGTGCAGACATGAGAGTACTCAATGTCAAGAAGTCTGGTTACCAAGGAGAGAAGAGAAAGTGGGTTGCTTCTAAAAAGGGGCATGGGGTCTTAGGAGGGTTGTTTTGGGGTTTTGTGTTGGGGTTTTGTGTTGGGGCATGGAAGAAAAGAGCATGTTTTAATGCTGATGGGGAGCCTTCCACAAAGGAGAGATTTGATGTGCAGGAGAGGGGACAACCACATACCATGGTCCTTCAGAAGGCAGAGGATGGAGCCAGACCAGAGTTCTCCTGAGGACAGATCTGCTGCAGCCATGGGAGTCTGGGCGGAAGACCATCAGGCACACAGTCTGTCAAACATATCTGTAAGCTGGGAGACCCCTGGCAGTGACAATGTGGGCACAGAAAATGGCAGGTGGAGGGCTCCTCCCTGGACTGGTCTGTCCTCACATCAAAACGACTTCCCATAAGTGGTCTCAGACAAGGAACTGGTGCAGAGCCCGCCTGGCTCCCATCAACACCCCTCCCTCAGGGACTCCCTCACAGCTGTCCTAGGGGCAGACAAAGCCTCCATTTGAGAGTCTTTCATTGCATAAAGGGATAGTAATAAGTGGAAAAGGTGGATTAGAGCAAGAGTCAGAAAACAGGATTCCCGACTCCACAACTCTGATTCCTACCCCCTCTGATAGAGGCAACACCCCTCCAAGGGAGCACGCTCTGAGGAATGGGCCAAGTAAATTGACAAAGGAAATGATCAAAATAAGGGCACAGAGCATGTTTCACAGGAAGAAGTACAAACAATATCTTGGTTCTTTAAAATAAATAAATCTGGAGGATTTTAATTCATTAATTATCCTGTCTCTGCAGGATGTACATCCTGAGATTTGTTTGTCCTCTCCTGGACAGTGGCTCCATTTCCAATGAGATTACACAAAAGCCAGGGCCCAAAAGGAGCTGAGACGGAACCGTCACATCTCCTGCAAAGACACATGATCAGCGGTAGCACTAGCGACCAGGCAGAGGGTGGGCTGCCCCCTGCCCAAAGCCCCGTCTGCAGCACACCAGCCCAGGCATTCGGGCACTCTGCTCAACCTCCTCAACTTTGGAGCCTCCACAGGCTTCCGCCTCACCCTGGCGTGACAGTCCCACTGATCCAATTCAAGCTCTCCCCGCCTCTCCTCCTGGGTGTTCCCAGCACAACGATGATCACGTGATTACAATGTGCTTATGAGAGCTGAGGTGGGGGTCAGGTCAGCTACTGATTCTCAGGATGAATCACAACCCTCCGAAGAAGGAGGAGATGTTGGTGTCAAGTGCCTGTTTCCCAAGCCAGGGCCTTATCTTGCTCCGAGTTGGGTGGCAAAGGGTACTGAGATCACGGATTTCTAAAAAGCACTTCTATGGCACTATCTTATTTAATCCTCACATCAATGGAGGCACAAGAGGGGATTACCAGAACATTTCAGATGATGAAACTAAAGTCCAATGATGTTAATGATATGCCGGGGTTTTTTTTTTTTTGAAAATTCAATTTATTTTTTAAAATTTTTTTATTGTTATGTTAATCACCATTCATTACATCATTAGTTTTGGATGTAGTGTTCCATGATTCATTGTTTGTGCATAACACCCAGTGCTCCACGCAGAACGTGCCCTCTTTAATACCCGTCACCAAGCTAACCCATCCCCCCACCCCCCTCCCCTCTAGAACCCTCAGTTTGTTTTTCAGAGTCCATCGTCTCTCATGGTTGGTCTCCCCCTCCGATTTCTCCCCCTTCATTCTTCCCCTCCTGCTATCTTCTTCTTTTTTTTTTCTTAACATGTATTGCATTATTTGTTTCAGAGGTACAGATCTGTGATTCAACAGTCTTGCACAATTCATAGCACTCATCATAGCACATACCCTCCCCAATGTCTATCACCCCCCAGCCACCCCATCCCTCCCACCCCCCCACTACTCCAGCAACCCTCAGTTTGTTTCCTGAGATTAAGAATTCCTCATATCAGTGAGGTCATATGATACATGTCTTTCTCTGATTGACTTATTTCACTCAGCATAACAGCCTCCAGTTCCATCCACGTCGTTGCAAATGGCAAGATCTCATTCCTTTTGATTATGCCCAGGGTTTTATAGGCTAGTGGATGAGTCAGAATTTGAACGCGGATCAAGCTGATTCTTTTTTTTTTTTTTTAAGATTTTATTTATTTATTTGAGAGAGAGAGAGCACATGAGAGGGGGAGGGTCAGAGGGAGAAGCAGACTCCCCACCGAGCAGGGAGCCCGATGTGGGACTCGATCCCGGGACTCCAGGATCATGACCCGAGCCGAAGGCAGTCGCCCAACCAACTGAGCCACCCAAGCGCCCCCAAGCTGATTCTTGTCCAATCTGGTTTACCTACCTAAGACTCAGTCCCTGTACTCAAGAAACGAACAAGGAATGTACACAAATTACCAGAACGTGAATGTGCATTAGAATCCAGTAGGGAGGGGCACCTGGGTGGCTCAGATGGTTAAGTGTCTGCCTTTGGCTCAGGTCATGATCCCAGGGTCCTGGGATTGCACCCTGCATCAGTGGGGAGTCTGCTTCTTCCTTTCCCTCTGCCCCTCTCCTCCACATGTGATCTCTCTCTCTCAAATGAATAAATAAAATCTTAAAAAAAAAAAAAAGAATCCAGTAGGGATTGAGAGAATGGAGACCCCACATCTAAACTTTTTAATTTGGGAGATATGGTTCAACTCTCTGAGAAAAAAACAGCCAGGATATCTGGAAGCAAATTTGTTTTGAAAAATCTTGTTAGGCAAACTTGCAAGCTGAAGTAACAAAGTGAGGGGGTGGAGGGGAGGGCGAACACTGAAGCTGGGACCTAGTGGTCGGCGTAGGATATTCAGAGAGAGGAGACCTATGGATGTTAGTTCCAGAACAGGTTCGGGAAAACAAAAGCCATGATTGTCAAACAGAAGGCCTAGAAGCTGAAGCATGACAGGAATGAATTTGTAACTCCAACCTGAAAGTGCAAGAAAGAGCACATTGCTCTATTTACTTTACATAAAATTAGGGTATGTATGACACTGAGCCTCCCCGCCGCCCTGTTCCCTTCCGCTGGCTGGATTTAATTTAATGTCAAAGATTGAGAGCGTTCTCTTCTCCCCCCACCTCCTGCTGCCATCGCCACTCCAAGAGTTAATGATCAGGAGTTGGGATGTGAAGTCAAACATTCATCCTGGTCATCAAGGGCAAGCAACTTTTTTTCCGTAAAGGACCAGATAGGAAATATTTCAGGTTTTGCAGGCCAGATGGGTCTCCGTCACAACTACTCAACTGTGCCATTATTGCTTGAAAATAGCCACAGACAATAACAGGTAACCACTCTCAGCTAACAGGTCAACAAAAACAGATGGTGGACCAGATCTGACCCATGGGCCCACCTCTTATCAACATGGTTTCCACCATGATCCCCAAAGGCCAAACTTACATAGATCCTTGAAGTTGGGTGGTCCTTTGCCAGGGCTGAGAGCCCCACTACCCAGAGGCCAGGAAGATATTCCTACATTTAACATGGAATTGTTGCCTCTGGACGGCTTGTCATCTTCCTGAGGTTCTGTGAGGATTGACCGCAGAGCATCATGACAGGTATCCCTTGCTTTTCGAAAGTTTACGTTAGGCCCCTTTGCTTTTATGACAGACCTACATTAGTACCTGTTTTCTCCAAAATGGGATTTTTTAATTTCATGTAAAAAGACAAAAAGCAAAAATAGGGTTCAGTGTTTGTGTTGCAGCCAGCCTTTACAGAGGCGGTGTGCGCACTCTGAGCAGTGAGCGGCCCCCCAAGCTCCTTCCCCAAAACCACACTCAGCATCTCAGCATCAGGCCCCTGGAGGTCTGAGCTGCGTCTGTGAGCATCTGTGCTTGATCTCGATTTATTCTGTGCCTCCATTAGCAAGGTGCGGTCTAAGGTATCAGAAAAGCCTGAGAGCGGTTATTTTGGGGGTCTAGGAATGCTAAAAAATGTTTTCATATAAATTCCCGGTAATGCTTCTTCACCCCATTTCAGCTTCCGAAAGTTTTCATAGGAACACTCTACTTTTGGATAGCCGGGGAAACCTGTACTTGCAAAAACTGCAGACATCTGTTCCTTCTCTTGGACAAAAATCTTTGCTCTTTCACTACTAGAAACTCTATCCCTCAAAACCACTCTCAGCTCCTTTCCCTGATATAATATGCTCAAATCCCTCAGGAGAAAGTGGGGAAAATCAGGAAGGGAGATGGCCTGCCAACTATTTCTTCTAGAGGCCCCAAGGCAAGGGAGCACAAAAACTTGGCACCTGCTGGAATGCTGAGCAATATACAAAGAAAACAAAGACAACCACTTCATTCAATAAATTTTCCCACCTAGTACCTGAACTTTCTAGCCCCAAAGCAAGTTCAGGCCTGATATTCCAAACTTACAAGTACAGACTGTCCCTTCACACCTCAATGGGTCCTGGCGTTCAGGTGTCCTCGGAAAACCTCCGAAGGGAGGTCAGGGTTCTGGTGACAAAGAAGGGAGGTACATGATTCAGCCTTCCCTGGGACACCAGGTTCCAATAAAAGTGACTCACGGACTTGGCTTGTAAGCAACTTTGCTAATCACTTTGACAAACCACTATTCCCTACCAGCTGCCACTCCAGGAGGACTCCCAGCATTTCTGTGATATGTATGAAGAACACCTACCAGCCAGTTTCCATTTCCCCACAAAAGCCTGCTTTGCTTCTGCTTTGGGAGAATTGCTTAAGCTGTGTGGAACGTGAGCCATAATTCCCAGAATGGGAGAACATAGGCCACTTTAGTTGTGAACTTGTCTCCAATTCCCCAGCCTCAAAAGGCCTCATCCCTCCTGAGTTCAAAGCACACACTCAACAGTGCCTGCTATTCATGTCATCGTTGGACTCTTGGCCCATCTCAGGCCCCTTAGGCATAGCACTGGCTTCAAGCATAGTTCCTGTACCACCTGCCCCCAAGTAGGATGGCCAGGCTTACTGGAAGAGAATGTTCTCTATGCAAGGCAATTTGAGATAGGAAAAGTCATTCTTGGAGGGTAGAGACTGGGTGGACATTAGAGCCTGGGAAATGCAAAGGGTTTGTGCTGGGAAATTGCTCTTGTAAAGAGTGCATGGGAGGCAGGTGTCTTTTGCCCAGACTTATTCGCTCAAGTGGAAAATAGAGACCATCATCCAGGGTGATTTCTTGCTCCTTATCTCTGCACCCACCAACCTTTGACAAGACCACTTTTTTTAAGTTTATTTAAGCAATCTCTACACCCAATGTAGGGCTCAAACTCATGACCCCGAGATCAAGAGTCACGTGTTCTTTTGACTGAGTCAGCCAGGCACCCCAAAGACATCATTTTTTATGCCCACAAACATCATGCAGGAAAGACTCAACCAAGCCTTATAAAATGGATGAATTAGTGAAACTCACTCTCGGGAGTTTGGCCACATTTTGGCTAATTTTCCCCACAGCTCTAGAGAAAAAAGTATATTCTAAAATAGCCCTCTCCGGGGCACCTGGCTGGCTCAGTCGGTGGAGCATGCGACTTGATCTCAGGGTTGTGAGTTCAAGCCCCACGTTGGGTGTAGAGATTACTTAAAGATAAAGATCTTTAGAAAGAAATAGTCCTCTCATTCCACAGAGCTGTACAAAGCCTGCTTGCTTAACTGACTTTATCTTCTTTCTGCAAGTGGCAATGACTTACCCCTTATGTTATGTAAGGGGAAGAAAGTCTCAGTTTCTGTTCTGTGACAGTAAATTTACTCTTTATTAATAGATCTGTGATTATTCCCTTATGAGCCAGCATGTGTTTGGTCTGTGGGAAAAACTGAGCAGAAATTTCTAGAGAAGGAGAGGGCAATCATTGTTATGGTACTTTGTTGAGCGCTGACAGAAATGATCCTGAAAGTTCATCAGTCCTCTTCATGGATGAGGATGATGATAATGATGATGATGATGATAAAAATAATCACAGTAGCTGGCATTTCATGAGCATTTAGTATGGGCCAGGAATATGGATTCTACCCTTTAATCCTCAAAACCACCCTTTGGAATTCTGCTATTGCCATCCCCCCACCTTTTTTCTTCCAGGTGAGGGAATTAAGGATAAGTTAATCATCCAAGGCGACCCACCCAGGAAGTGATGAAGTCAGGATGCAAGCCTTGGTGGAGAGACCCCAGTGCTCACACCCCTAACCCCTCTCCCACCTCCTTTGGCAAAGCCTCTGATCTACCAGACCGACGGCTGGCAGGCCGAGACCCAACACCAACAGCAGGAGAGATATCTGGTCCTTCCTGGAATGAGAGTGCATGAAGCTAAATATCTGAATTTTCCTGACTCCTTCCAGCTTGTAGGTTAGTAAGAAATACCTGCAGGGCGCCTGGGTGGCTCAGTTGGTCAGGCATCTGCCTTCTGCTCAGGTCATGATCCCAGCGTTCTGGGATCGAGTCCAGCATCGGGCTCCCTGTTCAGCAAGGAACCTGCTTCTCCCTCTGCC